TGGCTTTCTGCTCGACCAGGCTCACCACTAAGAAGCTTCAGTCCTGGGCTCCGTGGCAAAGCTGGGACAGTCAAGACCTGGGGACCCTGGGGGTGGAGCCCGAGGCAGGACAGGACGGTTTGGGTCTGGGATGTCTCCCAAAGCCCAGCCGCAGGGGGAGGTGGAGCGGCCTGGACAGGCGGGGACTACGGGAGGGGTGAGGTCACTGGGTGTGCACTCGGTGTGTGAGGGGACGGTGGCACCTGGCACTTCTGCTCTGTCCCTGCTCCCAGCTGCCCTGAGGTGAGCACCTCGGTTCCGCCCTGTGCTCCCCTCCATGATGTGCCTTGTCACGGGCCGAAGCAGACCCTGAGGCCTTGGGGTGAAATGAACTTTTTCTTCAAGCTGACTTGTCTCCGGTGTTTTGTCACAGTGGTGACGAGCCAGCGACGCCCTCCCTCGGCAGCCCAGGGGCAAGGCCTGGGTTTGGTGGCAGTGAAGGAGGGGTCTGCCTCTGAAGCAGCTTTGAGCTCTGGGAGCTGAGGACCTCTTCCAAGCTAAACATGACGGGAAGGAACAGAGAGGGTCCAGACGGTCCTCCCGGGAAGCGCGTGGGGTGAGCACGAGGACGGGGGACCCAGACAGGCCGGGGCGAGCGCGCAGTGCGGGGAGGGCACCTCAGTACCTTGCCGTGCACACGCATCCAGCGAGAGTACAACGCGTGCTTACACAGGCGCGAGGGGCGGCCCAGCTCGTCCTTCCCCGTGGTGGCGTTGATGACCTCCAGGGCGCTGTCACCGACCGTCCAGTTGACGCTGAAGTTGGGCGCCTTGCCCGGCTGCCGCGCCTCTGCGTTGCTAATGCCTGGAACGAAGCAGTCACAGAGGGCGACGTGAGCCTGTGAGCACGTCCGGGGACAGGAGGGGACGTCCGGAGCAGCTGGCTGCTCACACACAGTCATAGGGCAGCGGCGGCAGAGCGCCATCTGCAGAGGGACGTGTGTGGGCCAGGCATCGGTCACAGGGGCACACCACACCTCCGCTGCCACCGCGCTCTGGGCCCAGGCAAGCAGCGAGCCAAGAACCTGCAGCAGACCCTGGGGGCACACTGGTCGGTGACAGGGCACGGGCCACCAGTCGCCTGAGCCACAGCTGCCTGCCACGGAGCCTCAGCCCACGTGGGCCAACAGGGCTGGAAACCTTGCAGCCTGCGGGCAGGGGTAGGAGCCACTCGTGGTTAACTCAGGTGCTGCCAAGAGAGCTGGCTGAGTACTCCTCGGGGAGCCCACCCCGTGTGCCCCTGCTGCCCAGAGGCCAGGCGCCAGGCCACACCGGTCCCCAGGCACGACACCCAGTGGAAGAGGAGCCACGGCTCTCAGCGAGTGGCTTCCCACTTGCAAGCCCTGCCTCAAAATAAGAAAACAGGGCTGGGGACGTGGCTCGGTGGCAGGACAGCCCTGGGCTCTATCCCCAGCAGCACAAGATAAAACAGATGAGAAAGAGCATCGCAGAAAACCACTCCGCCCAGCACAGGTGGACGCGGCCAGGAGACCGCCGGCTCCTCCCCTCCGTCCTCTCTCTCTGCAGTAGCGGGCACTGAACCCAGGTGCTCGCGGTGAGCTGCCTCCCCAGCCCTGTCGTCTGTATTCTGAGACAGCGTCCTGCTGAGTTGCCCAGGCTGGACCTGCCATCCTCCTGCCTCAGCCCCCCGCGGAGCTGCATCACAGTGAGCCAGCAGCAGGTGAGCGCAGAGTCCTGACAGAAAACAACACAAACAGGACGATAGGAGCAGCATCTTCTGAGGGCCCGAAAGAAGATTGAAAGGTGGCATCCAAAGTCGCAGCCAAGCACAAGTCAGAAGTGAGACCCTCCAGACACAGCGGGGCCACCCACCCTCAGAAGAACCCACCACAGGAAGGCCGAAGAGTGTGTGTCCGGCCAGAGGAAAGGGCAGCCAGGGAGACAGCTCCAGGTGCAGGAGGCGGGCTCTGGGAACGGCAGCTACAGGACAGGCCTAGGAGAGCGTCCCCATGTCACTGCATGCCCTTAAAAACTGACCGCCCAAACAAAAACGGGACGTGGGGTTTCAAACAGATATCCACTTCTCAGGAGCAGCTGGACACGTGCCTTTACTTATGTATCTCTAAGTGGGGCTGAGGAGGGGCCCCTGGCCCCAGTGCTGGACCCCGGAGCCTCGGCCCAGCCCTGGAGCGGGATTTTAACACACAGAAGACGGTGCAGGACCACACAGCAGGCCGGAGAAGGAGCCTGTGTGGGTCGCCGTGCAGGAGGCCGTGCGGCCTCAGGTGGAGCGCGGTGAGCGAGGCACCCCACAGACCTGCAAACCCACAGAACAAAGAGCTGAGCGTCAGAGGGAACCAAATGGGGCGCACACATCAGTCTCCTCAGAGACGGGGAGAGACAGCTGAGAGCGGGTGAGGGGCAGGAGAGAGCCAAACCGCGGAACTCGGAACTCGGGGGACTCCGTTTTGAAAACCAGCCTGTACCTCAGAGCAGGGCCTGTCCCAGGAGGGGGGTGACCCTGTCCTTGAAACCCGTTCCTAGGCACACAGCTACCTGCCGAGTCATTTGTCCACACCAGAGGTCCTTGACTCAGCAAAGGCAAGTTCCTGGAAAGACCAAAAGAATGCCCCAGGCCACCGCAACCACCCACCAGGTGACACGGGAGACACCTGAAATGCCAGGGCCCCCAGGGGTTTGAGATTGGTAACGAGATCGGGCCACCCTGCAGTTTAGCACACACACTCTTGCAACCCCTCCGGCCTAGACCAATCAGTTCAAAGGTATCCACCATGTGAACTAACCAATCACCACCCAACTTGTTCCCGCCAGTGAAGGTGCTGATCCATGTAAGAGTTGTGTTTGACTTTCCCGCAGTGTGCAATGATTTGCTGTGTGATGTGGTGACACATAGAGTATCCCCCCAAAACCTATAAATCCTCACTGACTAAGGGCCGGCACTCACTCCCTGGGACCGCTGCGTCAGGAACGGTTGTGAGTCCAGGCTCGAGCCTGCAATAAAGACTCTGGTGTGCTTCATCGGACTCGGCTCCTAGAGGTCTATGGGGTCCCAGAATCTGGCCTGACGAAACCCAGCAACCTCAGTGACCACAACAGGGCCTACGGTCCACGGACCTCAGAGAGGAGGCAGGACGGCCACTGGCGGCATGGGGCAAGGTCCTAACCCACATGCCGACAGGACTTGCTTTTAGTAGGAAACAGCTTAAAATAAAGGGACATCACAAAGAGACCAGGTGCTTTAGCAATTAAGAGAGAGTTCAGGAGGCCAGGACACAGACACAGAGGCCAGGACTCAGAACACAGGCTCCTGCAGAGAGAAAGGAGACTGCCTCCTCGGTCCTGCATCTAAGTGCAGAGCTGCGGAACCCCAGGCCTGGACAGAGGAGAGGTGAGGACGGCTAGTTAGAGCCAAGAGAGCTCTGGGAGCCCGCCCAGCACTCAGAGCCCAGGAGAGGGTGCGCAAGGGCAGAGTAGGTCAATCTGAACGGTCAACCTGATTGGATTGAGAGGCGGATCCAGAGGTTCTGGGTGTGCCAGTGAGGGCGTGTCCAGGAGTGACTGGCACGTGGGACAGCCAACTGAAGTGGAGGCCCTCCTAGTGTGGGCAGCACCGCCCGACAGGAGGGTGGCCTGGATGGGGTGGAACGTGGAAGCCCAGGCAGCCCGGCAGACGCAGCCCATTCTTCTCGACCGGTCCTCGCTTCCTGCTGTGCTGCTGCGGTCCTCTAGGAACCGGACTCTCCCTTCTTCACTCTTCCAAAGGGGCCTCTGCCGAGATTCTCCAGGAGGCTTGGGTCTCAGACAGCAGCACCGGAGGCCCCTGTTCTGGGGCTTCAGCCTCTCGACTGCGCAGCTACTCCTTCTCTCCGCTCTCCAGCCTGCAGAGGGCCACGCGGGACTGTCCAGCTTCTGGTCACGTGAGCCAGCCTGATAAGTCCCCCTCTGTAGTCACCCTTCCTGTTGGTTCTGTCCCTCTAGAGAGCCCTGACCAGTACCACCCCCGGGCGTCCTGGCCAGCCAGCAGGAGCCGTCGCCCGAGGGCCGGCGGAAGGCAGCAGTGGACCAGCAAAACCAGGGCTGGTTCTTCAGGTGACAGAGGACTTGGTGACCCTTCAGCCAGACAGGCAGGGAGAGGGGTCACAACAGTGACCTGGGAACAGGAGACACTGACCACACCGAGGGCCACACACATCTTCCAAGGAACAGCAAGGCACTGCCCTCCAAGAAGGTGCCAGTCAGCTGGAATGGCCACTTCCAGGAAGTTGTGGGTCACCAAACTGAAGGAAAGGTGAGCAAAAAACAGTCCTGTATTTCAGAAACCGAATCTACAGCTGAATCTTCTCACAAGCAAACCCCAGGCCCAATGGCTTCACTGGAGAATTCTACCATCGCTCAGGGAAGTGCTCACATCAGCTACCCAACACTTCCAGAAAACCTGGGGGGACGTGTGTCTCACCCACTTCGCCCACAGTCCAGCGTCCCCAGGGGCAGAGCACCTCGGGGCAGAGACGCCCGAGGGGCCAGCAGGCAGGATCCAGCGAGCACAGAGCAGGGTGCTGCGGCCAGCTGCCAGGGGCCTGGGTAAAGAAAACTGAGAAGTGAGCACACGACAGCCTCAGAGCTGGGACGCGCACACAGCTCCCGTTCACGGCTTCTCGCCCTGGCAAACCAGGAACGGAAGAAGATCCCCAAGCCTGAGCAGGACCCCTGCAGGAGGCCAAGCTGCCACAGCGCGCAGCGGTCCAGGCTGGCTCCTCCCTAGGCCACTCGCGAGACCAGGCTGTCCAAGTGCATGTCCCCACGCAGGCTTTGGGTCTATCCAGGACAGCAGGACAGCAGGAAAGGAGGAGGGCAGGGCCCCAGGGCCACCTGTGCACACCACTTCATGGCAGCTGGTCAGCGGTGGATGGGCAACGAGCAACTGGAAATCTGAGCGGCTGTGTGGCCCTCAGCACAGCCCAGGAAGTGAGCCACCTGGACTCAAACCTGACCGAGGGTGTGCAGCATCCCCTGCAAGCCAGGTGCGTGACGGTGGCCTGGATCAACTGGGAGACTCCGGGTCACCACGCAGTCCTCGTCAGAGACCACAGAGTCGGCAATCCCACCAAGATCAGCCGCCTCGTGCCGATCCTGGGAGCGGAAGGCAAAGGATCTGGGGAGGCCAGAGAAGCTGGACTCACAGGGTGGACACACTGCCATCCAGAGGGGGCTGCACACCTCAGCTGAGGGTCCAAGGAGACAGACAAGCCCGGTGGGGAGGAGGAGCCTGGGACCAGGTGTCCACCTGGGGCCACAGGCACAGAGACCTCTGGACTGCAGGGCAAGAGAGAGGGGACTTTCACCCACCCGCTCTGCTGGAATACAGTCCTGTTCGAAGCGGCAACTCAGAGCCCCTCAGTCCACGGCACCCGCGGCGCAGGCGGAGGTGACCCTCAGGGAGAACTCTGGCGACTCTGGACGTGACTGGAGTCACACCCCGGGCCTGGGTGAGCACTGTCAAGAGGGCTGGAGACACATCTGGCTGGAAAGCCGTTTTGCAGCCGTTTATGTGATCAAGGACTTGTATCCAGAAAATGGGCAAGTGGTCTCGGACGGGTGGTGGGGTCAAGGAGCCCGATGACAGTGCGGGAGGTCCAAAGCGTCACCGAGGAGGCCGCCGAAGAGCAGTCAGCAGGTGAAAAGGTGCTTGGCTGCCCAGGCCCCTGAGGGTTTGGTCTGCAGTATCCACCGGAGTCGAGCCTTGACCTCGACGTGCGGGGAAGCCGTCCCCTGGCTGGCTCTCAGCTGGTGCTTTGTCCAGCTTTGGGATCACGGTCAGGCCAGCCGCCTTCCTACAGCTTGCGGAGTCCCTGGAGGGGCTGGCGTGCCCTAGACAGCTGGCGGGACCGCCTGCGTGTGCTGGGGACAGTTCACCTGCCGACACCTGCCCAAGGTCTGCCCTGAAACCCGCTCGGCCACTGACTGTCCTCAGAGTCTGAAGTCTGTGAGGCCCAGGGCCGGACACACAGCGCTGCTGCACCCTGCTCCCCCGGGGCGGGCCGGGGCTCAGGGCAGAGCACGTGCTGCCGCGTGTGGGGCCCTGGGCTCCATCCTCAGCACCACATAGAAATAAACAAATAAAGGCAGGTGTCGCTACAAATGAAAAAAATCAGAAAGAAAGAAAGAGAAACCCTGCTCCCCGACCCGGAGGCGAGCCCCATTCCCTCTGCTCTCGCCGTGAGTCACGCCGACCGCCCGGCGGCCGGAGCCTCTTTGGCCCTTTCCCGTCAGTGCCTCTGGTGTGACTGGCGGATCTAGATCCTTCTCCCTGTTTCCTGTACATCCACCCTGCCCTCCTGCTTTCCCATTCCTGTTTTCTTCCCCTATCTTCTGTCAACTTGTTCACTCTTTTCCCGATTTCTGGGACCGAGAGCTTGGTGGGGTGACCTCCTCGCAGTGGCTGGGCCCTGCCACCGTTTCCTGCGTGTGTTCTAGGGAAACCGAGGGACGTGCTGCTTCCTCTCCTTTCCAGGGGCAAAGCTTTGGCCTTTGCATCTGAAGGGCGCAGAGCCAACTCTGAGTCTCCATCTGTTGTCGAGGCAGTGACTGGGACCCTGGGGGAGTCTGGGTGACAGCTCTCGACAGCTCCTGAGGAGCCCGGGATGCGCTCTCCGACCGCTGTCGCCAGCTGCTGGGCCACACCTTGCTTCTGCTAGCTCTGGACCGCTCCCTCCTGAGCAGCTTTGGGGCTTCCTGGAGACGGCACTCTCCTGGGTTTTCTCTGGCTGTCCGCCTGCACTATCGTGCCACCAGCTTCCCGGGCTGTTTGCTGGATGCAGACGCTTCACTCTGCGAGCACCTTTCAGAGCTCCTCCAGGACTGCTCCTTTTGGGTGTGGCCGGCCGTCCTCTCCACCCCGGGATCTGCGGCCCGCCTCCTCCTTTCCGTACTGCCAGAGCGTCTGCACGAATGCTGGGTGAGTCTTCTGAGTCCTTGAGCATCTCAGACTCACCCTTTGCCCCACGCTAGACACCACCTGGCCCGCAGGAAAGCCGCGGGACACTCCTCAGAGCCCGTCCCGCTCACCATATCCCGACACGGCTCACGAAGTCGGACGCGCACGTCGTTGATGTACACGTCGGGCCACTTCCTCTGGTTTGGGCCTTCTGATGGGGTGCGAGGACTGCTGGGCACGGACCTCCCCCAGAACCTCGGGTTTGTGTCTGGCCGGCACTTACAGACGTGGCACTGGCCGGGGCGCCCGGCGCGGTCTCTGCTCTGGGTCTGTTCCTCACAGGTTGTCCCCTGCGGTGTTCCTCAGAGGTCTGCTGAGGGCTGCTGTCCACTCATGGTGCTGAGAGCATGCAGCTGGCGGCCTGGTTCCCCCCCGTGTCTTTGCCGAGTGCTCGACTGTGGGCAAGGCCAAGAATAGAGGCCTGGGCCCGACCTCTGCCAGTGCTGCAGCCAGCTCAGC